GCACCATACCTCTAGCACAGGCTCCAGAATCTTCATCAGTCCCGCCACGCTTCTCACATCGTCAACTCCCCCAAGTTGCAGCTTTTCGACCTTTGATTTTCTCGCTTCCGCGTCATCATTCGCATCCAAATCCGCTGTATCCACCACCCCACCCATATCTGCGTCCTCGTCGTCCTGATCTCTCTCTTCATCCCCATCTATTTCCATGCCAAAGTCACCACCTTTTTGCCGGGCCCGGAGTAAGCCGTTGTGCTCTGGAGCAAGAAATGAATCGTGTTCATTGTCCGAGGTTTGATCTTCGTTGTCATCGTCGTCAAAGTCGGCGAGAAGCTCTGCAGCGAGTGATTCAGACATGGTTGTGCAAAATGTGGGCTTGTCTCTTAGGGATCGCTGTCTGCGGGTCGGTGCCTATCTTGTAACGAAGGTGCAGTTGAGATCCGGAGCAGGAGCTGTGGCACGCAATAGACTCACATTTGTTATATGAGCCTCACGTGGCTTGGCGTCAGGGTAACGTGAGGGCCATTTGAGCTTGGCACTCAGGGTAAGATGATGCAGTACTTTACAGTCCTGGAACTGGCCTGACGCGCGATAGGGGCACAAAAATAAAAACTGCAAACGTGTGAATAGCAGGTAGATATGTACCAGTACTCTACTATGTACTCTACTATGTACTCTACTATGTACTCTACTATGTACTCTACTATGTACCCTACCTACAGTGCGTGGTAGCTATGTACCTGCTCACCTCGTTTCGTGATTCCACTTACAGCGAGCATCGGCCAATAAAGCTCAATCGGTGCAGATGTAGGGCATGGTGCAGCGTACCAAGTATCAGCTCTGTCTGCTGAGCTTATAATTCTTCATCTGGGAGAGTCGCGGCAGTGGGTGTAGGTAGCAGCGAGCCGACTTGTATAAATAAAGCCGGCGCTATTAACGGCCCTCGCGAAGCCTGCAACCCTCGCTGAACGACTCTACGAATGTTAGATAGCTAACAGCACAGAACGCACCAGAAGCCGGCCAAGGGTCACCGTACCAGATCGAACCTTCGCACGGTCGAATCGCCCTTTCATCATTGCCTTCCGCGCGGACAAGGGCGACGCCCTACCAGCCTGACCTGGGGATTTTCGTTGCACGATACTTTTACACACTCTACAGCAGTTCTTTAGCTTCTAATACCCATGGTAATAACCTGGTAATTTGACAATAGCATTCAATAAGCAAACAAGACACAATGAAATTCGTCAAACCATCATGGCTGACCCACTCAGGTATGCTCACTGCGAAATTCGCGTCGGGTGTTGTACCATGGACTGACTGATTCCTTCCCCCCCCCCACCCCACTTCCAGAGGAAAAAAGGCAGTTTGAGGTTTACTCCTGTCACGTCTCCCCTGATGGACAACGTCTAGCAACCGGTGGTCGAGGTATGTACTTCAATGCATAGGTAATGTTCATGGCCAAATAGCTCACTCGCTCCAGACTGCATCGTCCGTATATGGTCCACGGCCGCAATTTACAATTCCAACCCTAATTCGGAGGCCTCTCAAAATGTACCGAAGCAGTTATGTTCAATCAGCACACATTCGGGCGCTGTACTTGCTGTCCGCTTCAGCGGTTCGGGCCGCTACCTGGCTTCTGGCTCTGACGATAAAATAGTATTAATCTACGAGCGAGTCGCACAGACGTCAAGCAGGCCTGTATTCGGCTCAAAAGAGGCACCCCACACGGAAACATGGAGGACCTCAAGACGCCTGGCGGGCCATGACAACGATGTGCAGGATATAGGCTGGTCTTCAGATTCAAGTATCTTGGTCTCGGTAGGATTGGACTCCAAGGTCGTAGTGTGGTCGGGGCACACATTCGAGAAGCTGAGAACATTGAGCTTTCACCACAGTCTTGTCAAGGGCTTAACGTTCGATCCAGCAAACAAATACTTTGCAACGGCTTCAGATGACCGCTCAATCAAGATTGTTCGATTTATACCACCGCAGCCTAATTCTACAGCACAGGACACGGCTGATGCGAACTTTCAGCTTGAAAAATCTATCATTGCTCCATTTCAAACCAGTCCCCTTACTACTTATTTCCGAAGGTGTTCTTGGTCTCCGGATGGGGCCCACATTGCGGCTGCGAATGCCACCAACGGTCCAGTTTCGTCCGTGGCAATCATTAATCGTGGTTCCTGGGACTCTGAAATTAACCTCATTGGCCATGAGGGGCCAGTTGAAGTTTGTGCGTTTGCCCCAAGGATGTTCTCCAAGGAACCAGTCCCAGCAACCGGGCCCGTGGATACGAGCTGCCTAGTCACTGTGATTGCATGTGCAGGGCAGGACAAGGCCCTATCCGTTTGGAATACATCACATCCTCGACCATTGGTCATAACACAAGATCTCGCTACAAAGACAATTAGTGACCTTGCTTGGTCTCCAGATGGCAAAAATTTATTTGCAACGTCTCTAGACGGGGGCATCGTGGCTATCATGTTTGATGATGGGGATCTTGGTCATGTAGTGGGATTGGAGGAGAACGATAGACTGTTGCAGAAGTTCGGTGTGAGTAGAAGGGGAGTTGGGCTTGCAGAAGGTGTGGATGCTGCAAAGCTTGAGGAAATGGCAAAGGAGGGTGAGAGGAAGGAACTAGAGGGAAAGATGGGCGAGCTCATGGGGGATGGTGGATCTGGTGCCAACGGAGCACCTTCTGTACCTGTACCAGCTCCTGGAGGCAACTGGCAGATGATTCCCGATCAAGGCACGGAGAAGAACAAAGAGGAAGCGATTGAGAACAGCAAAGCTGTGCAGAAGCGTTTGCTGCAGCAGAAGATCACAATCACTAGAGAAGGGAAAAAGCGGGTAGCACCAATGCTGATCTCTACGTGAGTGCACCCACGTATTCCCCGTATTACATAAGGCTAACAGGTTATTCAAGTGGGGAAACTTCACAACGATCCAATCTTCCAAACGCACAGCTTCTTGCCAGCGTAAATACAGCAGGAGGCCTTCATACGCCGTCTATCACTCTCGATCTGTCCAAACCATTCGATGGGCTTCCGAAGGGTGGAATGGCGTCACTTCTGATAGGGAACAAACGGAAACACGTGGTTGAGGACGAGGCTGGAGATGCAGAGGATGCGCATGTCCCCAAACGAGCTCAGACAGTTGCCATCACAAATAGTGGGGTAGTTCAGCCTCGAGAGGACGGCAAGGGCCTCGATACCCCGGAATTTATTCGACCAGCGATTATCAACCCATCCATGTCGGTCAGTAATGTGCGTCTAGCCGTACCTAGGGTCAGAAGCTTCGTCCAAACAATTATTGACCCATCCGGACAATCTATTTCGGCAAAACCTGACAACTCCGGACCGAATGCCCAGACGGAGGTCTCAGAGGAACATATTATTTTTGAAGCACGTAATTCTACCTCGCTAACCCGAGGGGAGCCAACGAGAATTACTGTTAACCGCAAATCACAAACACTCTGGTTTGACTATGTGCCTAAGGCTGTTCTTCTTGCCACGGGGAATGATAATTTTTGGTGTGCTGCATGCGAAGATGGGAGTTTAATACTGTATACCTCCTCCGGCCGCCGCTTGACTAACCCGCTTATTGTTGAGGCTCAGCCGGTATTTGTGGCCTCAAGGGGATGGTGGCTTTTATGCGTGACTGCCAGTGGCCTATGTCACGTGTGGAACCTCAAAACCCTCAAGTCTCCGCATCCTCCTGTTTCCGTTGCTCCAATTTTAGATATTGCAAATGTCCCACAGAATGATAGACTCGTTGCGGGAGAGAGCATTACTGAAGCTGGGCTCAACTCTGAAGGTACTATAGTGGTGTCCCTCACTAACGGGGAAGGATATGCCTACTCGCGAGATTTACAATGCTGGCAAAGACTCACTGAGGCATGGTGGGCAGTGGGAAGTCAGTATTGGGACTCGACTGGGTCTGCAGCAAGAGTACAGGCGGATAGTAGTTCGAGTACGTCTGCAGCTACCACAGCAGTACAGGTTTCTTCAGGGGTAATTCCTCATTTGGAACGGAGAACTACACAGGAGGTGTTGATGCAAGGGCGGGGCCGCTTCTTGCAGCGTATCCTGAAGACGCTGTTGAACCGCGAAGGGTTCGAGGGCTTTGAAACGCAGGTCTCGATCTCACATTTAGAGAATCGTATGGCTGGTGCCATAGTTCTGGGGGCGAAGGAAGAATTTAAACAGTATTTAATGATGTACGTCAGGCGTATAGGCGCGGAGGAGTTGAAAGGGAAGGTTGAGGAGGTGTGCAAGGAGCTGATGGGGAGTATGATGGAAAATGAGGACGGGGAAGGAGATGATATAAGCTCCATTGGAGGTGGTGGGGGTAGGTGGGGTGTTGGAGATGAGATTGTGGGTTGGAATAAAAGGGAGCTGCTGAAGAATGTTGTGATGATTCTAGGTACGTTTTTCCACCCCCGTTGTCCAAACATGAAAGAGAAAGCTAATGTAATCAAATTAAATAGGCAAATATAGGGAACTCCAGCGAATCATTGTCCCCTATGCAAAGCTGCTAGGAGTCATGGAAACGGATGACGAGGAATTGTAGTACCACCCTCGCAACCTCCTTGAATTTCGGGGCGCAAACAGCGAAGGCGACGATATATAGTGGTTCGCCCTAGTACCAGTACCGAAGGAGGTCTTCTTTCCCTCGTGAACCCCCACAAATTTGGCTACCTTTTTTTTTGTTGTTAACTTTCTTATATTAGCTACGGAGGGCCGTTGTTGTATATTTTTTTTTTTAAATTAATTTTTTGTTACTGTCTCTTGTTTGATGGTGTGCTTGCTGTAAGCTTGGGCCGATTGTTGGTGGATTAGATGGATAGTTAGCGTTAAGGAGAATATGGGATGAGCTCTGTCATACACCCATTTGTCTTTTTGCTGAAGGGGAATGGTTTGTTGATGTTTCTTCAGAAAATGGAATTTTTGAGTCGCAATAAGCAATACAATTATGTTAAAGCCGCCAGTGATCATTAATCAGGGGTTGTGGCCTAATGGTAAGGCGTTGGTTTTCGGTAGTATTATTAGGAATCCACCAAAGATTGCAGGTTCGAGTCCTGTCAGCCTCGCTAAATTTTTTTCACTCAATTTGTTGCCCTCATGTGTCACTATGCTGAAATTAGCATTCCACTTGAACCCTTAAAATGACCGCTATCTCAGAGAGAACGGCTACGCAAGTGGCAAGCAAAGAAAAGACCGAGATTGAATGCGGCAAGAGCTAAGGAGAGACTAGTTTGGAGTAGAACGGTCTGCTCATGCAAGACAAATATGGTATTTCGTACACCCGAACAAAAAGTGGGATAAGAATTGTATTAATGCAATCCCAAAGGGAAAAAGGAACATCTATAATGGTTTGGGGATGCACAGTGTGCTACTTTTGTACCTTTGGTGGTTCTGTTAATGCCTCTGTTTATTGTCGCCTGCTTGAGTCCCTCCTCCTTCCAGTCATTGATCGCATCAATCGCACTATTGGCAACGCCAAATTCCAACAAGACAATGCTCCAGTTCACACAGCCAAGCTAGTGACTGAGTTCCTTAAGCGACATAATATTTCAATATCTGTCACTATTTGGTAGTGTTGTTTTCCACAGCAACGTTGCTAAGGAGGCTAGACTGTCTGCACAGCCCAGCCCATGCTCTTGCGTAATGATAGTGACATAAAAATCTCTGTCACTTGTAATTATCATTAGGATTGTAAACAAACAAAAAATATAACAAAACATATCAAAATGTCGGAACAACACCACTACACGCTAGAAGAACATAATCAATCAGAGCGAAAAAGAGTATCCTATACAGAGGCTCACACCAAAAAGTCTTTTCCTCCTTCCGGTTTGGGAACATTGCATATGCAATTCATATGCACATATGCGGTTCTAATGACAATGCATTTTATACCAGCATGTAGCGATTTGTTTTACCTTTACTATTGCTCTAGTCTGGTTGGCACTATTGCTCGCCTCCAATCAGTAGCTTCTTCGGACGCAGATAACCCTATGTAGCCGTATACAGCGTATGCCAAGGCTACTTCACCTATGCGAAGTAACTTGGCGTATGCATCTCTAATGCAGGATGCTTGGCATACTCCGCTGGCCACATTATGGACGTAATAAGCCATTTGGTTATATTCAAGGTAGTATGGCTATTCTCAGGACAGAGTACAGGCAACAGTAAAGGTAAAATTCATCTTACATGGCTGCATTGCCATTGCAACCTGTTTTGGAGCTGAATAATGCCAAGCTGCATACGGTGGATAGCCATTGCATATGCAAGATTACCAAACCGGAAGGAGGAAAAGACTTTGGTGTGAGCCTCTGTACCTACGAGCTTAAATTGAAGGTTATACAACTGTGAATAGAAAACGGTGATCACTGTAGCGATACTGGTATTTTGATATTTTTGTATGCATGGGATGAGAACTCTCTAGGCTGGTTAGCTAGTCTAAAAGTTGATTTAGTCTCATGCCAAGACTGAGCGTAAAGTTGATTGATGGATCAGAAATTTTATTTTACAGCTTAATCATCCACCACACCCCACCACACACCACAACCTCTATCCAAGCAAGTTATCTGTATCTGAATTATATAAATAGGAAAAAGAACAAACAGAAGATCTAATTGACTAGATAGAGGACAATCTTGAATCTATGAAAGGCAAGCAAGCGCTTTGGTATGTATAAGCAAGTGAAAGATTTAATTAGATTAGTTTATTTATTCTCTGGAGGCCGTAGTATTTTCTTACATGCCCAAAGCCCGTTAAAATGTAGTTTTTTTCTTACTCTCAAGTATCAAGTAATCAATTCTCGGGTTTAAATCTAAGACATTCATATCAGTCTCATTTTGGACTCCAAAGCAAATATCATCATGGAACAAAATTCTCCAAAAATAAGAAGAAAAAATATCTTTACTATCGAGGCTGACAGGACTCGAACCTGCAATCTTTGGTGGATTCCTAGTACTACTACCGAAAACCAACGCCTTACCATTAGGCCACAACCCCACACTATATTCACAATTCAAATACGCACATATCACCACATCTGATAAACGTTCGTTAGATTGTCTGTACTTCCCAACATTAACATTAAACAGCAATGAGTACGGCAATCCTATTATTTATTCCCATTTGCCTGTGATCTAAAACAATGAACACTACAACCGAATTCAAGAACTCCACTAGATATCTGCTAAAAGCCGTGGTAAGAAACATATATAACGAGAAAATAGAACATTAGCAAACCAACAGGAAATCAGATGCAGGCACAGAGGCACAACTACGACGTGAAAATAATTCTACCTCGGTAGTCAACTATTGCCAACCAAAAGCCGCCCGCCTTCTAGCCCAGTTCCATAATACCTGAATCGGAATCTTAAATTAGGAAGGCAAAGAAATGTTCATTGCATCGTCAGCCTTCTAAACATGCTAGCTCTCCGATTGCTACCCTCTACTCACGCCCCCCGCCCGGGGTTTCGCAATATTGTCGTTGTTCCCCTGGTACCTGAAGCTCGTCTTCACTTTCCTCCTCTTCACTGTCCTCCTCCTCGTCCTTCTCTTCAATAACTTCTACCCCAGCCTCTAGTAACCTCTTCCTCTGAGCATCCCTCTCTGCATCCTGCCACCTAGCTAACGCAGCAGTCGCATGCATTTTGAAGCCAAAGCATCTTGGTACATGTCTTTCGTTGCTCTTGGCAGGTATAAGTTGTGGGTAAACTTGGAATAGGATGTGTGGAAAGCTAGCGCCAAAATAAGCTCCGTCAATAGCGGAATGTCGTGACGACTTTGGCGAATAGACGTCCTCGCACTTTGCGCAGAACAATTTGACGGCCTTAAGTGCTGGAACGTCGGTAAGGCCTATTGGAAGGAGAGGATGGGATCGACATAGAACGCGGGGACACCGGCCAAAGTCTGACTTTTTGTATTTCTCAAGCTGTTGGTAAGAGATAAAATGTCAGCCATCCATGAACCCTCTAACGACTCATCCTACGGAAAAGCTAACCATTTTTGCCAACCCTCTCGTCGTGATTATGTATCGTGCATGAACAAGGCCGTATAGATGCCTAGCACTCTTCTCTATCTGCTCCCTTGTCTCCTCATCACAGTCAAAGTCGAAGATATCCGTAACAAGGTCAAGTGCATATTGATAGTATTGCACCTCTTGCTGAAGACCGGTTAAGTTAAATCTATCAGTTAAATATTCCTCATCAATCTCGCAGAAATATTCGTTGCCTCTGGTGCCTATGAACTGTTGACAGAATCGCATGTCTTGTTAGCCCTCAGGTTCCGTTTTGCGCCGGGGAGGGGTGAAAGGGGGGGTGGTGGGGGGGGTGGGAGAAGGGGTGGTAGTTGTTTGCTTTGTTATATCTATAGGGGTGAAAATGGGAACCGACCCAGTCTCGCCAGTAGGATGTGAAATCGCTATCTGTTTCCGATTGGTATTCCTCCACTATGTACTTGTTAACTTTAACTTTATCCTTTCTGGTTGTCCCTAGAAGTGGGTGTGGTGGGTTGACGGGGACATACTGGCTGCCATTGTTCTTCTTGGACCTGAGTACTTGCCCTACTTCGACTATCTACTTGACCACTCCCTGGGTTGTCTTTTCGTCAAAGGATCCTCCCCGCTCAGCACAGGACAAGACTAACTGCGTAGCTAAATATCAAAGGTCCCTACAGTTGGATCGTGGAGCCGTGCAGAGTACTATAGAGATAGATTAGAAAACCGTGACCCAGCCAAAGCCTCTGTTGGGGCCACCACATAGACCAACAGAGAAAGGGATCTGCCAACGCTACCATTCCAGAGGGCGGCGTGTAGGCGTGTGTCATGAGCTCCAATATAGGTACAGCATGCATGGTGGGCTGTCATACATACAAGTATCAAGTCGAAATGATGAGAACCGCAGCCTGTCGTGCCCTCTTCACTCAATATCTCGGCGCCCGATTTGCTTGGAAAAAAAGACCGCCGGCCAATAGAAAATGGAGCTATATACAAGTTCGTGATTTCGTCGAAACTGGCGGGAATGTTCGCGGGATGTTCTGATTGGCATACGCTTACTAATATTTAGGTTTGTGAATGACTAAGGCTAAGATTTTTAAAATTGTTCACTTTCAATAATGAAGAGTCACTGGCGTGCGAGCCTAATTGCATGTCAATATCCTGGGGTCAATGTTCAGTGATTACTCAATCCGGTCATAGAAATGGGGAATGAAGGTTCTACAACTAGGCGCTCCATCTCCATATATTATTATATATACATTTCATGGATATTATTAATCACTACTCAATCAACTCGTCTATGGGTCATTCGGAAGCATCATTGGTACCACCATCCTTAACACTTCCTGGCAGAGGCTGAATTGGTATCTCGTCCATACCGGTTCCCATTTAACTGACACCATTGCTGCTGCCCCAATTTTCCCCCCCCCCAACCTTCTCTCCCCGTGTCCGTCCGCACTTGTTCCATCCCCCGAACATTACCCGCCTACTTTGAAACGCAGGGAGGGAAATTAGCCTGGCGCTCTCAAACATGAAGCTCCTCTCCATGTCCTCTACTGGGCTCGTCAACTCGATTAATTCTAATGCCTCCCTTAGCGTCTTCCCTGTGTTGTCCAAGGCCACGAGAAACCTAGCTAATTCTTTGCACAAATCCCAATCTCCCTATGCAACCGCTATTGCTAGTAGCCGAACCATATCCTTTGAGCTCGAACCCAACTCTCCATCGTGTGAATAATAATCAGGTAACCACCGGAAGTCTTCAGATTCCCTCGAGCAAGAGGCTCCTCAAATAGCACCTGCGGAAAGCTACTACTGAAAACAAGTGGTGCCACGAGGCAACCTCAGTTTCTCGGGTACATTGGACGATGATATCGAAATAATGCGGGAAATTAGACAGAAGCTGGACAACATCAGGAAGGACAGCCTCTGTAGCGAGGCAAGTCAGCGCTGGGTCAGATAAGCTAGTAGAGTGTAATTTCATACCATCAGGCTCTGGTTGGCTATCTGCTTCGTCGTCTAGCACGTTAAGAAGCAAGACCTCAAGTGCATAGGGAAAGTATGCCAGGCTCTCAATGAGAA